AACATTTCTGGATTATGGTAATGCTAATAGAGGAGGAAATTCATGAGCGCATCAAGAGTGTGACACAGGACAACAGCAAATGGGACCAATAAGTGGCTCCATCCCTCAATCACAAATGAGGGATGATGAAGTAAAGGGGATTAATCCACTATAATAGACGAATCTATATCCCTTGAGATCAAAAACTACATGATAAAATCATTATTATCCATTATGACCATGCCACTGCTGGTCACTCTGATATTGCCAAGACTAAGAAACTGGTATTATGAGAGTACTGGTGGCCTAAAATAGAAACTGACATCATCACATATATCAAAGCATGTGAGGTTTGCCAATGAGGCAAATCATTGATACAAATCCAGACTGCACTACTCCATCCAAATGAGGTTTCATCATCACTATAGATCTACATTTCGGTCAATATGATCACTGGATTACCAGATTACAATGGTTATAATGCTATCATCATCATAGTCAACCAATTCTCAAAGGCAATTATACTGATCACCTGCTTGACAGAATTGAGCTCTGAGAGATGAGCAAAAATCCTATGAGATGAAGTCTATGCAAAATACAGCATGCCTCAGATAGTTATCTCAGACAGAGACCCTCAATTCATCTCAAAGTTCTTGGATAACCTTTACTGCCTTCTGCACATCAAATGCAATGCATTGACAGCTTATCACTCTCAAATAGATGGACAAACAGAGCATGCAAACCAAAAAATCAAAAAATACCTCTGCTTGTTTATTAATTACTAACAGAATAATTGGGTAGAATGGTTGGCTCTTGCCACCTTCCAACACAACAACTGAGTCCATTCAATGACAGAGAAGACACCATTCTTCATGAATCATAGATGACACCCAAACATCATACAAATAGAAAGACATTGAATAACCACCCCCACATCCATGGACTTTGCTACCACAATAGCAAAGATCCACACAGAAACCACAGCAGCCCTTGAAAAGGCTGCCAGAACTATGAAAACCCAATATGATAAACACCATCAGCAAGCCCATGACTATTCTATTAATGATAAGGTTTGGCTAAACACCATCAACCTCTATTTACCATGGCCTAAATGCAAATTGGCAGATAAATGCACTGGTCTCTTCTCAATAACCTCAAAGGTAGAGGCTAGTGCTTATAAACTAAGACTATCCCCCACCTGGAAAATTCACAATGTCTTTAACAAGGCACTGTTAACACCCTACATCACATCAGCATTTTCTAATCAGAAATGACCTTCACCTCCACCTCCAGACCTCATCAATGATAAAGAACACTATGAAGTTGATCAGATCTTAAATCATAAATTACAAAAAATTAAAGCAAGAGAGGACAGAATGACAACTACAGTCGACTATCTGATCAGCTGGAAGGGATATAGATCAGAATCCAACCAATGGGTGAACAAAAAACTCATAAATGCTGATGAAGCCATACAGGACTATGAATTATCCCTGAATTAAGCTATTGGGATGATGGTCTTAAAGAGAGGGTAATGTTACAATTTTCCATTCTTTTCCTGGAATTAACCCCTATTTATGCTTAGTCAGAGCACTAGAGAGACTGTGGGACAAAGCTTGGTCATCACAACTAGCCAAGTCCATCATTGTCTTTTGATGCAACAGTGTTGCCTGATGATACACAATCAACCTTTTATATATAGTAGTGATGCTCAAGGACAATGAGCACTATAGACAGAGAAACTCACAATAAGTACATAGTATTATTAGCAGACCTTGTACAGTATTTAAAGAAGCTCGCTCTTGCTGGTAATCCCCAGCTTCGAGCTAAAGTTTATTCCATCCCATTCTACTCTTGAGCTAGTCACACAAAGCCTTGAAGCACAGGAAGTCAACACTGGTACACTAAGTGAACTCTGACAGAAGGCTCAAATGCAAAGCCATGTTAGTTTATTATGTGCTAGTTGATCACATGTGGCTTGAGCCTAACAAAGACTCTGCAAAAGACAGAAATCCTCAAGCTTCATATGTGGTGCTAATACCTCTCAAGCTTGATGGAAGGATTTAATAAGATGGCTCTCCAATATACCAGAAAGAGCATATCAGAAACTATTTTCTTTATGCCCTTTATGCCTTTCTTCAAGCCTTTTAATAAATGCTCACATGCTATGAGATATTGGCTACTGAGCCAAGTAAATTTTGGAGACAAACATAGAAGTGCTGGAAAAAATGTAATCAATGGCTCAATAACAATTTGAGGTAAAAAGTGCTAACAAGTTTCCTCTAGAGCAGAGATGTCTTGGTGATGATTTTGAAGCATAATGTGCAACATGGGATTGTCAATGAGAAGCTTGAGACATGTTGGTGTTGGAAATCCTCAGTGTTGTGCAGGATAGACTCCAGGCTGGTAAGGCCAGATAGAATAAACTTCTTATTCTACAGCTTCTACAGAGCTTGTACTTATACTCTCCTGGCTTATATCTAGAATTTACTACAACTTTCTCTTTCTTTCAAGCTTACTCATTGACTCTTGGCATGATGCCAGATTGCCCTTTCTAGAACTTTCCAGCAAAATCCCAACAGTCAGGTATGTCACAAACTCAAACTTGGTGTCAGTATCCCTCCTTGATAACCTCACCATAGAGAGAAACTTGGCAGCATGTTTGACTTTGTGGAGATGTTTGAAGTACAGGAAGGGGTCCATGTCAGCAGTTAAACCTAATACCCAGCCAGAAATGGCCTGTTGTGGAGCAATATGTCCATCTTGAGAATCTTGGCCAGCTCAGTGCAGACTGATGTGATACAACTTGTTGTTTTTTACAGTTTTTCCTTGATCTTGTGCTATATGTTACTGTGACTCTAACTACATTTTGACATCAGAATCTGATGAGAAACTAATTGTTGCGAATGATTATCAGGTAAGCTCTATTTTTATTCCTCACTATCAGGCTTTGCTTATTTTGAATGAGGCAATGATTTTTGATCACCAACAAAAAGAATAAATACACTGGACAGGACCATTCCATATCAAGACAGCCTGCTTGAAGCCTCAAAAATGTGTCATCTGCCGTCAAATCTCCCCATATGACATCCTGCCTCGAATACTGCAATGACTGCTAAACCAACCAAAGTCTCTCCACCACTTACAGACCCAAATACACAGACCTAGAATGAAAAAGTCATCAGTGCTGCAAAGAAAATGTTCCAGATGGTTGAGGGTCTCAATGATAGGTGTTGAACCTATAAGGACCACCTCTAATTCATCATGAGCGACCGAGAACTGATGACAAGCCTGGCTGATATGGATGAGAACAGCAATAAATCTCGCTTTACTCTCTGTGGATAAAATTTGATCATCCCTAATTGCTACTGAACATCTATGCTCATAGTGTATCACATCCGTTCAAAAAGCCCAGCGCCACCAGCAGTGCCTATGGGGACTCATGAGTTCTTCTATCATCAGAATAACCAACAATTCCCATTTGGTTGCTTATAGTAGGTGTTACTTCCCAAGATCCACTGGAGAAATGTATGCTAGACCTGGATCCTTATATCCAAGAGGTTGTGACGGGATACCGAAGTCTGAGACGTTGGGAGATTCCAGACGAAATCCCCGATGATGTCTGGCCCTTCCTTGAACATCTCAATCTCCCAGCCTCCATTCAGACCCCTGACTAACCCGATCTTCTACTTCACAACCTTGGATCTTTCCAGAAAAATGATATTTTGAGGTCGCATCTGGGACAGCTGGTAGATCGTGGTCAGGTAAGCTCTGACATTTTTTCACCTTCATCTTGTCCTCATGGTCAACTTCATAGATTGTTTGTCAACGCTCCTGGTTCAGGGAGAACACGCCTAACCCTTGAAGCTCTATGCTATCACTGGGGTTTGTACTTCAGTTGCAGTCAGAGCCCAGGGCTGCAGGACCCGCTAGATAATTCTACATCCAGTTGCCTTGGTTCTCAAGATCTTTGGACTGCTTATGATTTTCTTGGACGCGCCTCTGACTTTTGTCCTGTCACATGTCTTAAGGCCAACGATGCCCAGGGTAATAGTAAGTTGACAGATTTGGTTTTTAGCAAGGTTCTCCTAGCGCGGCTGCTGGTTTTCAGTGCTTTTTTACACCATATACCCGTGGATAAAATTGCAGATCCGATCTATAAGATAAGATGGACTTCTCTACAGGTTCAACCGTCGATCATTCCCACTGAGTGCGACACATCTTCACGTCAATCTTCCATGTTCTTGACGGAGAGGATCAGATGGATATTAATACAAAAATCAAGGCGATTTGCACTACTATCGGTCGACTTCATGGAAAAGGAAGGATCTACATTGTTATTGACGAAGCTCAGCTTGGTATCGAATGCTTATCTGAGACATTTCATTCCTCGAACCCAACCAATCCCCAGCATCGCCCATTCCTGATAGCCGGTGTTCACTTGGCATAGCAAGTTTCAGAAGAAAAGTCTCGAAGCATCCTTCCCCATTTCCGCCACGAGTCTTTCAACTGTGAAGTTTCTCGAAGTTGTCGCATCTGTGACAGCAAAGCCTCAATCTAGTGCCTCTGTCTATACTGGCTCTTTTGATAACGGAGAAGACCAAATCGCTTACATCATGCCGTTCACCCTTGATCATCTTCACCAGACGGCCGACTTCCAGTTGTTATTTACTAGAATCAGGCAATGGCTACATGGCCGGTTTGTGTTTCCGTCTTCGGTTCTTGCTATAGAGTTAATTGTCGTGTTCTCCTAGATATCGTTTTACTGCAAGTTTCCTGTCAAACCTCCTCGCGCAAGGTTACCGAAATCCCAACGTTGTCTTGAACCCTTTCATTGAACATGTCGGAGGTTTCACGCCGTCTGATCACACACTTGGTTCTGACAAGCTAGAGAACTATTCAATACGTCCCGGCAACATCTTGATATAAGTGGTTCCCCTCAAGTTACAATTCGATAAACTTGGTAAATGGTCCCTTTTTGTATGATGGGTTCGGTGTCTGACTTTGTCCTAGATCTTACAATGAAAAATGAAATGATGTCGTTCACTTACAATTATTTTCTTGGTGGATCTCCAGCTCCTTTTCTAGGATCTAATCTTCAGCAATATGTGAATCTCGGGCTCGCACACTACCGCTCGAACCAAGCAGAGGATGCACGTGTTGATGAGCCGCTGGTTCTGATGGCAACATTGGCCTATTTCAATCGTTCCGCTGCTGCACCCAGGGACCATCTATATAGCCAGATATGTGATCATCTGAACCACATCCGAACCAATGAACATAGCTTCACTGACCTTCTCGCCTTCCATTTCTCTATTTCATTCGACCGCCCTCGACGTCTTGCTAAATTCTTGCATGTCCTGAATGACGTTTATCGCTTGGGATTCAACTATGTTCGGCTGGTGGCATATCGCGACCTCTCTACGGGCTTCCCATATCTTCGCAGAGGAACCTGGATGATATCTGGGCTTAACGAGTGTAATCTTCCAGAATACGGCGGCATCTTGACTGCTTCTGATTTTAAAAATCATGCGCCCGACAAGATTATTAAACCAGATGATCAGATCGGAATGTCATGTCCTGGTTCTATGGGGCCTAGTCTCTTGTTTACATTGGAATTGACCGATACTCCAAGTGGAGATCCTCATCCAACATATCTTTGGGTCGCTGTAGCGGCCATTGTCCGTTGGCGCGGTGGTGATTTCACTCATGATCAGGTTACTACCGCTTTAAGTAAGGTCACCCCGAAACACTTCTTCAGTCATCCGGTAAGCCTTCATCTTCGCACATGATCATGCTAATCGGTCTTCCTTTTAGGAGAACCCTTATGATCGAGCACAAGCTCTCCAGACTCTCCAAGACTGGCTCCCTCCGAGTCAGAATTACCGGAAGGTAGGCAAGTACAGTCTCCTTCGGGTGGTCGCTGCAAATCGAAAGCTTTTTCTGAGTCATATTTCGATGAAGACGGTCAGGATAGCCATCCCATAGCTATCCTTAATCCTGAGTCCTTACAAGATGCGTATGCCACCCTCGAGCCAAAGAATTACATTCGAAAACTAGCAGCATGGATAGACGGTTAGACGTAGCAGATGCAATCGGACGAGCTGTTAGTTAATGTATCCATCAATGAACGATATTTGTTTTCTCAACACCGTGCGTCACTAATGGAAAAGTAAAGTATGGTATCTCGCTTGCTCGGTATAAAATAATATAAGTGCCATAGTCTACCACTGGCCCATATTATTTCTAATATTATCCCACTTGCTATTAGGATAGTTTATGTGGTTCTTGGTCTTGTCAAGAGTTCCGAGGACACCAGCAGCGGTTCCGACAAGGGATTCGGAGCCAATTTTATCGGTTGAAAGCTTAGTAAATCACGCGTTAGCTTAAGTCACACAAGAAGCACGTCAAATTTGCTTACCTCCCAGAACATGGAGCCAGCGAGACCACAGTCGTTGATGTACTGTGCCTTGAGGGTGACTATGTTGGGAGTATCGTATGAAACGAGCTCTCGGAAAGACCAGTCGTACGAGTAACTGCTGACATCATCTGTGTTTTCGAAGACTTGGGCACTGGCAACTTGGTGTGGATGGGGTTAGATGAGTATGTGAAAAGACGAGAAGCAGAAGGCACATACGAGGAAGAACATTATACGAGTACACTCCAGCTTCGATGGTTCCAGGACCAACCTGAAAATAGACGTCAAAACCAATGAAAGTCAGAAAGTAGGCTCGGAAGCATACACCATTGAAAGATGCTCCTAGACCGTCGGTATTCTCAAAGGCACGTCCATAGAGAGGAATTCCCATGTTGATCTTGCAAGCATCCGCACCAGCCGAAATGAAATGCTGCACAACAGCGTCGGTGCTGACACCTGTGCGCGCACCGCCGTAAAGATTAGCTTGGTTGTCCGTGTAGTCCAACCATGAACCAGAGTAGTCGTAGGACATGAGATTCCAGTAGGTCAAAGCAGCGTTCATCTGGGGTACGACGAGATTGGCATAGTTATTGGGACCAGCAGCCACAGCGGCGGACAGCTGGTATGGAGTGCTGTCGCCTTTAGAGTTGGCGAGATTGTCAAATGCGGTACGAAGCTCTGTGAAGAGGTCGGCAAAACCTTGTCCTTCGGCAGCGTTGGCTGGGTATTCAAAGTCAAGGTCACTAGGAAGTACGTTAATGCAGGGAGAGAGACGGAATAGGAAATTAGACTTGCATTCCATCGAAGCCGTAGTCCTCAATGAGAGTAACGGCATTGGAGACAAATGTTGCACGGCTAGATTCGGAAGTAACGAAGGCGAAATGGCCGGCCTGTGAATATGTCCAGCCGCCAATGGAAAGGAGGACTTTGATTTTCCGGTTGGCAAGCTTGATGAGGTACATTTGCTTGAGACAGCCGTACAAATTCGTGCCACTCTCTGTCCAACTGTCTCCGTCGTAATGTTTCTAAAGAAACGCGTTAACATATCTGAAAGAACGGATACAAAAGGCATGCGTACTTCTTCATCGGCCCACGAATCAGTAAGGCTTATGGCTCCAGACCAGGGGTCCACATCAGCAAAAGAATACAGAATGTCTAAACGTCATGGTAGTCAGTTACAGTATAAGAGAGAACTGAATATCCATACGACTTAAACTGTCAGTGACAATATCTTGGGGCTCTGTTGGTTGCGTCAGAAAGATGCATATGCAGAAGACTAGGCACTAACGAAAATCCGCGCTGTATATACCCCAGTTGGTAAAGTACCCGACAGACGCCTTTCCTTTGTAAGGTTCTTCCAGATCACGGGCTTCTGGGTTCGTCTTCGAGCTGGCGGTGGAAGGAGAGTCCTTGTAATTGTCTGGACGATGCATCACAGCCGTTGCATTGACAGCTACCACTGCAAAACAAACAATACATAAAAGAGTGTGTTTGAAGCCCATTATAGAGGACGGTCAAGTTGAGAGATTGTGGGAGGGATGGGAGGGAGTCTTCAAAAGACGTGAAGACTTCCGACATGGCTGCGGGACACATTTTATAGTGCCGCTCCCGAGGCACGAGAAGGCAATGAAGTAAAGGGATGAAGTAAAGGTAGTAACAAGGGCTGTCAATTTCCTATGATGGAGCATATGGGGAGAAGGAGTCGGTGAAATGAAGGCAATCCAGACGAGGAGTGAAAATATCTCCCGAGGGCTCGCATGAGTGAATTTCAGCGAAATACTGAAGAAAAGAGTCATACTAGGTAATATTAAGCGCCAAAACGAAACCACGTACGAAAATATAGATCACATCCATTTACGGTGTATCGGTGAATTATCGTGACGAACTGTCGCAACGACGGCAAAGTAGCTTTCATTTACTGTTAGGTAGGCAATTGGAGGCGAGAAGTGACCCAGGAACTGCAAGGAACGACGAAGACCATGGATTCTTGGAAAAGACCCATTGAAGCGAAAGAGCTCTGAGCAATATAGGCCAACTTGGTGGGAGTAGCAACGGATGCTCGCAGTGGCTCGAACCAGGAAAGGGTCGCGCTTCTTTTGCCGGCATCCCATCAGGGTCACTTGGACCCTTCCAAGACCTACGCGAGATGCGAGTCTTTTGTACCTTGTGGAAGAGTGCCACCTAAAGAACGATTGCCTAGCACTGTCCACTCTTTTGCCGGGACCTCTAACACGATTTCTCGCCTATGTTGACTCTCAGCACGACAAGATTTTCTAGAACTTTATGACGTCGGCATAGGGCTAGGACCGCAAGACTCGTGTAGTAGGGCGGATCAACAGACCTGAGGCATGAATGGGTGGCCGCACGAATTCAGATCTGTTTCTTCGGCCAACGTATCTTCTTAGCTGCTTTCATAATCGACGGGATTTGCACAAAGATCCTTTGACTCTAGACTAAAATGTTTTCATGTCCGTGTTTTGCTTTACTAATTGACTACTGACCCTAGGCCTCTGCAGACCAGATCCTCAGACTCGGGACTCCTTTTTACGTTTCCTTCTAGCGGTGCAAGGACCGTCCCGATGCATTACTGTTGGGTCTAGTAACTTCGATGTATGCAAGCCTCACTAGGTCGATGGCTGCGGGAAGATAAGATATCGGTTGGTGTTTGAGCTGAGTAGTGGCGAGCTAGACCAAAGAGCGTGGCGAGGTAATCTTCAGTCCTCGCTACTTCACTTCTCATACTGATTAAGGTCACACTTTTTTCTCTCAGGCTCATACCTTTGGCTCGATAGCAAATGCCATGGAATTGGCATTCCCTATTTCCTTGAGAAGGATCACGATCACGTCGCACACTCCCGCCGCCGACTGATGAAGGTCCATATTCAAGTATCATGTCATCTATCGCGACAAATGACATCTTCACGCCCTTGATCCGGGGACATTATTTTATGGGAGAAACTTTGGAACGCTCCCTTCTGGCTTGTACACGCCATGCGGGAGAAAAATGTATTTAGGCACCTACATCCCACGACAACTGCATGTGCTGAGCGAATACATGGAACCCGGCCTTTGGAGAAGACAGAAATTCTTCGAATACGAAGACACGTCATTCAATCTTGACTGCGCATGTGTGACTAGAGAAATCTGTGCTTGATAGCTGAGTGGTTATTCTCATGCCCAAACCGCACGACCTCTCACTCGGTCAGTGAATATAATATCCCCGTCGTTCTGAGGAGGGTCATTTCTCACGCCGGCTTGTTCAGGCTCGCCATCTTCCCGTGGGAGTTACTCATTCCTTCCGTATAGAAATTCCGGGGATCGTGCTTGAACCACACAGATGCGCCGGCTTTCGCTTGCATATTAAAAGCTGAGAGACTCGTTCTCCGTGTAATCGTACTCTTTAACCATGATCGTCGTCGTCGCTTTATTGCTTAGTCTCCTCACCCAGGCAATTGTCGCTCAAGACACAAGCCTAGCAAAGGTAAAAGAGGCATTCGATGTCGTCAACGTGAGTATCGACCTCCTTCAAAATGCCATCCTTACGCCGCACAGATCCCAAAAGACATTGCTCTTCCATTCGACCCTTCCTTCCTTCTTGAAGTTTCTCTGCCTCAAACAACAGGCTCTGCGATCGTCCTCAGGGCAGGCGTGCAGCTTCCTCGCAATGGTACGTCCCCGATGTCAGCTTTACCACCTCATCTGATGAGGTCCCAAAGCGACCGTCGGCCCTCCTTCGTTCACCCTCGTCGGACATGATATCGGGCATGGTCCCTTTGTCGTCGCAACAGTAGACCCGGATGCCCCTACTCCCCAGAATCCCAATATTTCCGAAGTTCGGCATTTCCTCGGGGGGAACTTCGTGTCCGAGCGCCTCTTCGCAGGCCAGGCTACCTTAACTAACACGACGGCAGCAGTTTCAGACTGGCTTCAGCCGACACCTCCCACAGGATCGGATGCCCACAGGTAGGTAGACTGGATTCACTGAAACTGAAAGCTCATCACTTGAAGGTATATTTTCTTGGTGTTCAGGCAGCCGCAAGGTTTCAATGACCAGGTTCTCGTTGACGCTACTACACCTAGGACACTGTTCAACATCAGCGAATTTGGTGCAGCGGTTGGGCTTCGAAACCCCATTGCAGGAACGTTCATGTTAGTGGCCCCAGATCCTGCATAGGAAAGTACGTTTCGATGTTAAAAAAAATAATATTACGCACGAAAAGTGTACGCGTTTTTGGCATCTAATCCTCGTCCTCGTTACAGGTATAAGAATAATCAAACAGTAGATCTATAGAAGTATAGGGTAGGAATATGCGTGATACACATCCAATGAAGGAAGAGAAATCAAAATGGCTTAGGATTCGACTGGGATCTAGTGATCTGCGGCGGCGGAACCAGCGTTACCGTACTGGCGTCGTAATTGCTTGTGACAGGATGCGATAGCGTACGTGTCATCGTGGACGCATTTAAGGGCATGCTCAAGTCGCGTGGTGGAACTGGGAGGTCAAATACGGGCGATTCTAGGGACTTGCAAAGTGCTTCAAACAGCTTCCTCGCATCATCCGCGCCGAATCCACCGGAAATCATCGCATGGACCAGAGATTTGAGTTTCGATCCGACCTTGGGTAGCTATAATATTTATTAGAAAAGATTGTGCGTGTCGCCAAGAGACATACATTAAACAGCAGCCGGTCGATCATCATTCCACATTCCTTGACGTCTTTTTTATAGATTGCTTCCGAGTGGTCCGTATCCTGTACGGCGGAGGAGAGGTTGGCATAGTAGTATTTGACAGGTAATCTGGAGCGGTCAAAGTGCTCCACTGAGTCAGGAGAGCAGGTGCCAGCACCAATGTCTACCATGAAAGAGGCAGAGTTGAAGCACGAAAGTTCGGATATATAGTGTTCATGAAGAAATGTGAGGCCCTGCCGACCTTATAAACGCTATTTCATCGACTTTGTCTAATACCACGCACCTCTAATGACTGTCTGAAGAAGTCAAGATAGTTGGCCACGTTTCGGAACGGAGGTTTGTCAAACTGGAATAATCGTTGCAGGCAAAGGAATACTTTCTCGCCACGCTCTACCACGCAAAGAATGTGAGGAAAGGGATTCCAGGGATCCGCGCGGTATTCTGGGTGATTATATTCCAAAATAAGGAAGAGCTCTGGAGAAGTTCGCGACAACGATTTTATCATAAGGGAGTCATTGGATGTAGGAGTAGATGGTTCTACCATGACCTACGCAGAAGCGGCATTAGAGAGGTGTCAGCACTATTGCAGGATGCGGCGTACGAGACTGTTTGTTTCGTAAAGACCAGGATTCTTCAACAACAGGTCATCGATAAGGCTCTCATAGTCGCTGCGCAGTCAGATAATAAAAGACTAATGGACAACAAAATATAACATGAGACGTACATATCATAGATGACAGACGAGCTGGTCGAGGTGGACGAGTCGGACTCTGAATCACACGACGACCAACCGCTCCTGTAATACGAACTCACATCGTCGTCATCGCTACTTTCTATGCGAACCATGCGCTGCAGCGGGTGACCCAGCCCCCATCTCGGATAGGAGTCGACGTCCTCAATTGTCCCATCAGAATGAACACCGTCGCTATCGCTGTCGCTGTCATCAGAGTCTGTGTGCTCCGGCGACTCGACAGTATCTCTTCCCAGAATTATTTGGACGGAACGCGCCATAAGTCGCGATGGGCGGGAAGAAAAAAGTGCCATTAAGCGTAGTCCAAATTTGATTCACTTCCGCAACTTTCACGAACTCGTTATTATAGGAACTGGGGTCGTTAAGCGAAACCTTAGAGTAGAATTCAGCGAGGCATAGTGGACGCAGCAACGACAGGCAAGAGGAAACGTGGCGAGAGGAAAGCGGGGAACGGGGAACCCCGGAAGGTGCTGGGATCAAGTCATGTCCAAATCCGGCCTTGAACTGCAAGGTGCTTCAGCGGTCACTAGTAAACAGTAACTAGACGTTGGGATATTGATATACGATGGCAAGCCTCATGAAGTCGCAGGATCAGAGATGAACGTTAAACGTACGTTGATTCTTGAACAGTCAAAGCGCAGTCATTTATTCGCATTCTTACGGCACTCCAAGATAGATTTCCAAGTCGACTTTGCCAATATATACATAACGTATATTTAATGATTTACTCGCCTCTAGAACATCGGAAGTACCTAAAAGGTAATAGGCGGTGACCAATTATCTTTCTTCAACCACTCCATTGTCTCGATGAACTGCTCAGGATTCGTCAATTGCGACATCTGCCTCAGCCGGTCCATCCTCAAGGTAGCCAGAGGATGTCCTTCTTCTTCATCATCACTCCTGTGAGCACCTTTAAACTGTTCCGGAAATCCTGCAAGCACACGAAGAATATTCTGTCCACATGTTAGGCTCTGGAATTCCTTCAATCATTCCCTTCAATAGAACCGATCGGTGTCCGTGTCCATAACAATCCTAACCGAAAATTTGAGCTGAAACATCTACTGATATAACAAACAGAACTTACAGAGTACTTCTTAAAGAGGTGTTTGGGAGTAGCGGCGTCCACACACTATTTTATCTGGAAACGCTTGGCCGATCATGACTTCAACGGCTATCCACAGATATTGTGGTCGTCCTGAGGTGTCGGGCAAATCATCGTCGAGTTCCACCAGAAAGAGCATGCTAGGTCCCATCGCCGTCTCTGGATAGAATATTCCAATATGGTCGTCTGGTCTGTTATGAATTACAAAACCAAAATAGTTATCGGTCAGTTCCCGTATTTTGCTATTAGCTGCCTGAGACGTCAGAAGACCCCCC